CTTTCCCTACTGATCCTCTTCCTCTCTGCCTCCTCACCCTGCCACCACGCCGCCCTCTCAGGGTTAAGAGGGCAGCTTAGGGAGGAGTCCTATGTTACTCAACACCAGAGCAAAACAAAGCAAAAACCTTCAAGTGTTGAACACTAATCCGTCTAGTCCATGGAGGGTAACTTACCGTAGATTATCTCATTTTGCAGGTCAACGATTAGCCTTGACACAAGCTTCATTATGAACTCCTATGAGTGCTGGTTTATCTTGAAGTGCCACTGTGATCAGGATTATGTCTTTTATCTGTTGTTGTACTTGTCATCAGAGTGTCTCTTTATCCTTCTGGGACCCAGCAAATCATTTCTGTCCTCTGTCGGGGACATATTTATTTAAGTACTATAGAAATATCAGTTTTATAGTAAACTGATAAAAAATGACTGTAAAGACATATCATTTTACAAAATATTTCTATTTCAAATAAATGCTGTTCTTTTGAAGTTTCAAGAAAGAATCCTGAAGAAAAAGAATGCTGAAAAAAATTATCATGGTGTTCACAAAAATAAAGACACTTTTATTTAGCACCAAATCAGCATATTATAATGATTTCTGATAGCTCATGTGACACTGAAGACCTCTAGCAACTTTGAATTACTTTTTGAGTGTGAGACAGAGCATATGCGAAAGAATAACTTTTAAAAGCTTGTGAAAGTCCTCTCTCACAGCCCTCTTTTTGTCACGTGATGTCACTGAGGGTACATGTAAGCAAGTGTGGCTTTGAGGTGGGCTTGTGTGAATGCGTGGTAGAGACAGGCACGGCTGATGGCTCGGAGGAGTGACGCAGACTGCACCTGTGTTCCGCCGACCCCCCCACTGTCTCTCATTACCTCTGCTCTGTGGGCACTCATATGTGCTTCAAATTGCAGCCGTGCACTGCTCCACGTGCTCAGGATGTCAGCATTGAATGCTATCGTGGACACACCTAAAGAGAGAAACGTGTCTCAATAGAACCATACAGTACTGTTGTGCTTATTGTTTTGAGCCGACATCCCTTCTGGCTTGTTGTTTTTCTCTTATATTATAGTGGGTGGGTTTTGAATGTGATGTTGTTTTCATGCCACATTATTGTTTTCTATCATCACCAGGTTTGTAGTTTTAAGGAATTGTTATAGCATAATGGCACGTCATCTGTCACTCATGACAGAGATGTAATGCCAGAGTGTCTGTAATGCTTTCAGCTCAAAGACAAGCACTTCTTCTAAAAAGATACAATACCACTATTTTTTATTTCTACTAGTTAGACTTTCTTCACAATTAGTGATGGCAAAATCACTGTGTAGTATGCTATAGCATAGTACTGTATAAAGTTTATATTGCAGTCACACAAGTGAGATTTATTAATTTCTCTGAGTGAACCCTCAGATATTCAAATTGCAGTTTAAGTCAGACACTAGTGCTGGGTGAAATAGCTAGAAAAAAACTCTTGATGTTCAGTAAATAATTTACTATTTATTTCTTAGTATTTTATATTAATATTAACAATATCTTGATATTTATTGATTGAGGAGTTGTCAGTAAGTGCAACTGAGCTACGACTGTAGCAAACTAGGTTTGAAAAGTTTAATGCAAAAAATATAATTCAGTATATTTAGTTTCCGTTAGTTAAAAATACAAATAATCTAGATAAAAATAAACAAGGCAAAATATAAATTTTCAAAATTCTAACTAAATGTGAAAAATGTAAAAGAAGAATATGCAAATCATTTTTGTTTATATGCAATGAACACGATGCATAATAATAAACATTAAATGTCTGCGTATTTATTAATTTATTTATTACTTTTTTAAAAAGTCACAGAGACAGCAAATTAATTGTTTGATTGACAAACAATACATTAATCATACATTTGAATTAGTTAATTGAAATGTACAGTTTGATTCACAGAAATTAATTTAATTTCCTAACTCAAATGCAGTTGACATCAGAGGCTAGGTAAAAAGTGCATTAAACTCATCACAGTGTTAACAATGTTGCTTCGTTTTATAGTGGCAGCAAAAGCATTGTGAATAAATTGTGAAAATTCAATAAATTGCCCAGCCCTATGTCACAGTGAGCTGAAAGCATGTTTGGCATGTAAACCATAATAGCAAAACCATCTACTTGTCCTGGGTGTGTCTTTTTTTAGTTTAACAAGACTTTTCCTTCTTGCCAGAAGC